ACAACTCGGGAATCCATCCAGTAGACCCCTAATACCTCAAATGAACAACAATTACAAAACCAAACTCCAAAACAAAAATAAGAAATGAAATCCTTAGTAGTCGGAAGAGTGAGTGTCTGTATCTGCATCATCACGATCAAGCTCTAAGCCTGGTACTGACGAACACCTGAAAAATAAGAGTGGGTCAGGCCCACATGTAAGTTCCATTCTACTACAATCCATACATAAACCCGATACATAGATACATCCTAGACAGCTCGGCAATAACTAAAATAGTCCATATCAATATAGATACACACTATAGGATGCTCACTAGCCTATGGTGTAGTTCAGCCTGCATAGAAGGAAACATGTAAATCACATTTTTTCCAGTGGCCATGTACATCTCCTGTCAGGGAACATCAGTTATATCTAGTTACTTAACCTTTGCAATATACGCACTCTAACCATGATCCTAAGACTCAAGCTCATATCACAGTACCATAAATATATATATAAATCTCCCTAATTCAGAAAAGTAAAACAAACACCCGTTATGTCGTTCAACTGTTTTAGTTGACAGGATATGAATCCATGTAGGATTTAACTGTTTTAGTTAATCCATTCTGTATGTATAAAGAGGTGGGATTTAGCTTTGTGATCTAATCCATCTCCAATATGCCACCGTCCCATACCGGTGCATATAATGCATATGATCCATAAATGATGCACACTCAAATGAACATCAAGTACATCCAGAAACCAACATAATAGAAATCAAATATGGTTTAGATCCTGTCATGCATCCAGTATATGATTATAATCATAAATCCTCCTTTTAAATTGTTAAAGTAATGATAAACAATTTAAATTATACACATCTATACAATTGATCGAACATAAATTATAACAGTTCATCAATTAACATCCATAGCACAATATAATGATAAAATACCTGAGCACATTATACTAGAATGCCAAAAATACCTCCATACTGGTCTGGTTCGTTTACTAAAATAAAAACTAGCAATTAAAAACCTACACAATCCTTGACGGCATGTCAATTAATACTTAAATTACATGACGTCCATTTAACCCTCACTATAAATCCTGTGTCTGATATAATGACACTCATAAATCTACATGGAGTACATTTTATGAAACCCCAGAATTATTCCCATACTAGTCCATTTAGTTCGCTAAAACAAAACTAGCAATTAGAATTCCTACAACTCCCGACTGCATGCAACTTACTAGTTAAAATTACATGACGTCCATAATCACAGCATAACCAACATTCCTGGAACTAAAATATGTTATATATATCATTGATATAAAATCATAACACTCACTTTTATATCAGTTCATTTAATTTGCTAAGACAACTAGCAATCCAGTCTTCCTTCCTTTTTGACAGCATGCACCATTATACATTTGTATTTCATGTTGTCTCCTACAAATAGCACACCAACCTATACTAAATGTTTTAAAGGTCTAACATGTTAATTTTAAACATTTACAACCTCCCATAACTTTCTAGATATTCCATTGAAGCCCCTGGAATCAGAAAACTGTCCGAAAACACCCCGTAGGGGTTTTTTTCAAGGGAGCCGGCTCCCCCACTAGGGGAGCCAGCTCTATAGCTTCCAGAGCCGGCTCTCCCTCATGGAGAACCGGCTCTCTCTTCATGGGAGCCTCCCTCTATTAGGGAGCCGGTTCCCTCCATTAGGGAGCCGGCTCTCCCCCCTGAGAGCCCCTCTCTGCCTTCCTTCTTCGTCTCTGCTTCGTCAGGTTGTCGTCTGTGCTTCCGGCGAAGTTCACTGTCCTATCCCAAATCTTTTTTAAATTCTTATGGTTCAATTTAAGTTCTTATAGTCCTAGAAACTCCTCATATTCCAGTGTGAATTAATTGACAAGAAACTTAAATCACAACCGAACAGTTTATGCAAAAACAACAGTTTAAGTTGCAAGAACATAAAACAGATTATTGCCTATTTAACATGCATAAACGTTTGTTTTAAAAGTTTAATTAGATTCCTGGAGTCTATTTAGAATGCACATAACACAAGTTTACAGGAAGGAGATAGAATGAAACTTGCCTTTAGGTTTCGATTTGAAACCCAAACCACCGTCTCTAAGTTCCGACAACCCTTAAACTGTTTCCCCTTCTCTAACCATTGTTCTCTTCCTGTGTTGCTTCTTGATTCAACCCACGAGCAACTCCCCTTTACAAATCCCTTGCCCCTCTATTTAACTCTCAAGACAATCTCTATTTTGCCTCCCAAAACCCTCTGTTTCTCCTTCTGTGTTTTCCCCTCAACCCTCTCTATGTTACGGGAAAAAGGGTTCTAAACCCTTGCAGACATATAGCTTATATATATATAGGCTCCTATAAAACCCTAATCCTAATTCCAGCCTAATTATATGTCGACTACTTCATAACCCAACGTGATTCAAAAACATAAAACCCTAACATCATTAATAATAAAGCATACTATAATACACGTCAATCAAATTATTAAATTAAATCACAATTAAACAATTAAAGTAACACAAATAATAAATACAATTAACCACTTAAATTAAACAATTACACAAATACAATTTAACAATAAATTTCATTAAACACAATTAAGCAATTAAGAAAAACACAAAAGTCACGTAAGTCACATAATTAAATAAAAATCAAAATTTAAATTTCCATTTTATCTATTTGAAAACTAAGGGTATTACATACCTCAAGTTCAATGGGAGTCATTTTGCTTTCCTTGTCCTATATGTTGATGATATTTTGCAAGATAGCAATGACATTCTTGTGATGCATGATATTAATTTTTTTTATGTAGAGTGTTTGGCATGTAGGACATGGTATGTCCTTGGCATTAGGATCCATAGAGATTATGCTACTGGAATACTTGAACTTTCTCTAAAGACTTATATTAATTAAATATATGAAAAAATTTAAGGGTGACCAAGCGTAATAAGCCCATTGACATAAAGTACATTTTCAAGCGTGAGAAAGTTAAGGTTTAAGTGCCATTAAGATTTCCCCATATGGTTATAAAAAGATTGTTGCATATCCTCTCATTAAAGATTTTCAGCCGAAGATAATAAAGTATTTATAAAGCACGTGATTCGGATAGGTATTCGAGAGTCATTATGTTATGATGTCTGATATTTCTTCTATATATGCTACATTGCAGTTAGTTTCTTTGCGCCTTGTGGTGAGTTATTTTCTTCCAGTTTACTCCTTATGGTGAAAGTTATTTGCATCCAAAATAAAGTTACAATGCATCATTATTATTATCTTGATATATATGGTTTATGCACGTGCTATTATGTTTATCTGAGAGTGGTATTTCACTCATGAGGTTGTTTGGGCTAGATGTGATATTGGCACCACATCGGTAAATCCAAAATAATTATTAAAGATTGTTTGGGAGTGATACTTCACTCATGCGGTTGTTTAGGCTAGATATGAGATTGACACCATATCGGTAAATCCAAACATAAGATTTGTCTGGGAGTGGTAATACACTCGTGAGGTTGTTTGGATTAGATTAAGATTGACACCACATTGGTAAATCCAAACATAAATATTAAAGTTTGCCTGTGGGAGTTTTTCACACTCCATGAGGATAGCTTGGGCTAAATATGGGATTGGCTCCATATCGGTAAACCCTCACACTGAACAGAAGGTTGGCGGTTTGTTATAATATGTTCAGGTGACATACCGCAATGGTATGAAGCAGGATGAATAGTGAGGTGTGTGTTTAGACCACACGCAATTTACACATCTCATGAAATACAGTAAAAACCACTATATTTGCTTGAATCCTAGATAGAATCGGTTTTGAGATCATAGAACTGTTTAAACTAATATATTACTTGTCTACGCATTCATGATCTACTATTGAGGAAGTCTATGGAGGAGAGTGTTCTAAAGTATCAATCCATCTATTTCGATAATTGTATTTTTTATGAAACAAAAATGAGTGGCCACTCGACTTTTTCTAAAGTGTGTTGCAATCCACAGTGTCATTTTTATAAAACTTAGAGTGCATGGACCAAGTGGGAGATTGTTAAAAAAAATTTATATATAAATAATAAAAATTATTTTATGGTCCTATGCACTACGTTTTCAAAAATAGGATTGTAATGTGATTATTGATACTTGATGGATTGGGTTGTACTTTTCAAATTGGTAGTCTAATTGGGAGTATGGTTATATAACGTTGGATTGTAGTTTTCCAACTTATTTGGTATGATTTAATTGTAACCATTTATATCTAATTTTTCATGATAGGAAGGGAGACTTAGGTATGTTTATTTGTAGAGAAGCCGCCCCTTGTTGTTATTATATAAGGGTTTTAAAATCCTTATTAAGCTCTATCGAAGGACAACTCTCAGAAGGGGGTAAAACACTCTAATGTTTTGCAAGATCAGAAAGAATTCTAAGGCTATCCTCCGAAATCTAAAGGTATATGTGCATTAATCATCAATTAGGTACGAGACTAAATTTTCTATTTAATTAAGTGTAGTATTCTTGATTTCTACATGTAAACTATTTGATTAAAACCCAACATGAACGATACAATATATATATACAAAGAGAGAAACGGTTGAGAGAGAATCGTGTAAGTTGAGATCTCTTATATATACATATACAGAGATAGCAGAGAAGATTTGTACCTCTCTCTTTAAAAATACCCATAAAAAATAAAAATACCCTTTTAAAAAAATGCAACGAGTCGACCAAGTCACAAACCCCTCTCCACCAAGCTCTGCCAACCCATGCCGACCCATTCACGGACGACCTCTTCTTGTGACTAAAAGTGGCACATTGGTCATTTTAATGATCCAGATTATTTTTTAAATTTCGTATTAAATGTTAAGGTTAATTTTGTTATTTTACAGTTTAATAAATAGGTCAGACACAAGTATATGGTAACTTGATTGAATTTTTATAGTTAGGATGTTTAATTTTAGCGAGAGTATTTTTGGACGAAAATGATACTCCAGCGGTTATGCGATTTTTCCCTTTTTCAAGATATATGTATAGTTTGGGTAAGACAACAGTAACATCTCTCATGACTTTATAGTGAAAATATCACTTTCATTCTCTCATTTGCTCTTGCTTTCTTCTCCCCCAGATCCGATCCGGAGAACAGAGGTATCGAATTCCCAACCCTAATTCTTAAAATTCGTGTGTGTGTCTATATATATATGTAACCAGTCACAGCTCACTTCTAGGGTTTCAGTTCTCAAGCTGTGCCTTTTATTTCGCACTCTTGATTAATAGTGTTGCTCTCTCGGCACATCTTCACTTTACATTATTGTTATTACTAGGAATGATTAGTGTAGCAAAATGCATTCTGTTTTTGGATCCATAGTTGCTCTATACTGTGAAAATCATGAGATGTTAGTTTGTTAACATTGACTAATTAGGGCTTTCCATTAATTTGAACTGAAATAAGTCATTGTCATTGTACAACCATGGTAAAAAAAACATGTTAGATGTTATCAAAACAGAAGGGATTCCCTGTTTCCGTTTTGTTTCCAATTCCATCATGGTGAAAAGGTCAATCATCCGATTTCAGTATACATTTTTACATGCATAGATGTGTGTGTATGTGTGTGAGTTCTACAACATGTTTAATTTGACAAAATATGCCAATATATACTTTATTATGGAGCTTAGGCAAATTGTCAATTATTGGTGTTGAAAAATATCTTACCCCCAAAAATTGATTTGTTACTTAATTAATTTTCATGTTCTCTATATGTTGGAAATGTTGTAAGTTTTCAAGCAATAAGCTCCAATTTCAGATGCAGTTATAGTTGATATGTATGCCAACATCCACAATTTAGGTACAAAATAAATTAGGATATCTAGAAGCACTCATACATCATGTAATCCGTTCTTGGATGCTTAGATTAGCTCGGTAACTTCAGTTATGTTAGTTTAGTGTTGTTTTACTTTAATATATAGTGAATTTAGATATTTCCCTTTTTCCTTCGGGGTTGACTCATAAATTGCATATCATTGACTGTTGTGATTTGATTTTGAATCATGTGCAGTCATACAATTTGTCATTTTGTTACTGCTACCCAAAACGTTAAGTTAAATGAATACATCATCACTATATATATATATATATATATATATATATATCATCTGTTTACTTATATTTTCAAACTCCTTGTTTTCTTTGATTTCTTTGCACACCCAAGTCATTTCAGTCAAACTTTATGAAATTTATTTGGGTAATGTTTATAATTTATTGCTGATAGTTCAAATGCGGGATGCTCTTCTTGCTTTTAGGATTTAGGTACTCTAATTTCATTTCTCTCAATTGTTTTGCTTTTATTCTTAAAGTTTTTAAAAGAAGAGGAACATAATTATTGTGTGAAAAGTGACATCTAATATACTTATAGGAAAACAGTAAAGTATAAAAATAATATATATATATATATATATATATAGAAAAACAGTAACATATACCAACGGTCTTGTAGAGTAGAAATATAAAAAGAAGATAAAGGAAAGAATTGCGTAAAGGCTTGAATGAGATGAATTACTCATTTGCAGCTCTAGTATTTATTGATAAAAAAGAACACATGCTCATATTACAAGAAAGGAAACTAAATCAAATCACAACCTATTCTAAAGCATATTGTTTGGCATATTCTATAGCATAGTCAACTCTATGCTATTATGTCATTCCATAAATCGTGACTATCATATATGCTAACATATGCATATTCAAATCTTTGTTATTATTGTAAGTCATTCTATAAATCGTGGTATCATATATGCTAACATGTAGCCTAGTGGTACTTCATCGCCTTCCAAAGTAGAAGGTGCGAGGGTTTAAGTTCCCATAGGGGCAAAAACTGGGTGTGTTAGTGTGTTTCTTGCTAATGAGGAAAAAAATAAATAAATAAATAAAATAAAATAAAAATCAGTAACATATAAGTTATGCACGCTGGTGATCCGGAATGTGGTTGCTTGTCATTTATATGTTGGTAATGATTGATACGGTGTTCTTCATCATCGCTGGTTAAGTGATATATTAAAGTGAATTTGGTCAAAAATTTATTGTGATCGTGCTTGTTTGTGTTTCCCTCTCTGGCATGCAGTGCACTGTTTGATGTCATCTCCAGGGACTTCTTCGGACAATTGTAGTTCACATATTTCTGTTCTCTATTTCTTCATTTGTTTTAATTCTCACTGCTTTCCTGCATCTTCTGCTTTGCATTGTGGAAAAAAGGGTTGAATTTCTTGTCTAGAAAGAAGTTGGAGTTATGGGTCGTGGAGTCAGCAGCGGTGGGGGACAGAGTTCACTTGGCTACTTGTTTGGGAGTGGAGAGGCTCCGAAACCAGCTCCAAGTAATACCCAAGCTGTTCCAAATGAAGGGCAGACTGTAAATAATGGGCCTCCTCCCAAGCCTACAGTTGTTTCTCAGCCAGCAGATGTTACCAAGCAGATTCCTGCAGGTATACATAGTAAGCCTGCAAACAACTATTTCCGAGCAGATGGCCAGAACAGTGGCAATTTTCTCACGGTATGTTTCTAACTAGAAGTTCACTTTTTTTGTGTATATAGAAAGAAAATGTGCTGTCTTTAAAATGCCAGTCAACTAGTGTTTGTGTTAGCTGTGCAAGCAGTGTCTCATTTAAGTATGCTAAATCTTTACACATCATATAATTGAATCAGAAAGTTTTTCTTATATGAACAAGCCTAATTGGATGTTGGGTATTTGTTGGAAAGGATTCAAAAGAATAAATTTTTTTCACCCATTTTCACGAAGCATTTGGTGGAAAAATTACAGAAGCTGTTTAGTATTTTTGTTCCTCATCTGCATCAGTAGTAACTCCAGGAATCCTTAAGAAATGATTTGAGACTACCACTTTTAGTCCTGGCGTGTTCCTTTAGCAATGTACTTTGTGATGTACCACCTGTACCTTATGTTAGGGGACTCCATTGACTAAAGATAAAATTGAAGCTAAGCCTTGCGGTGTATTTATTAATTAGGCATTATAAGTTCTGTGACGCATGTTTTCCTTCATTAAAATTTAAGGATCGATGTTCCACAATGACTGATATTCTTCCCTGGTTGCAGGATCGGCCCTCGACTAAGGTTCATGCTGCCCCTGGAGGTGGATCCTCTCTTGATTACCTTTTTGGTAGTGGTGGGAAGAACTGAATACACCTTGCATATCTTAATAAACTACTTTTCTTTATGGATTCAGTAGAATGGGTGTTTTGAGAAGACGCTGTTATATCATATGTAACAATTGAAACTTGCTTGATCATGTAATATATTGGTGTGCTGATTGTTGCTGGCATTATTCAGCCAAGATATTTAATTTTAGTTGCATGAACATCTTATCTTTATGAAGTTGTTCTGTGCAAAGAAATGTCTAAACCGTTTGAGGACTCATTTTTGGCGCTTCAACTACATTTATCTTACCTCTTTGAGGGGCTTATCCTTTGCAAACCAGTCATGGCCCTGAATTATTATTGTGATCACGTTGGTGTGCTGTGAGTTGGCTTTAGAATTGCACCCAAAGCCGACCATCTTCATCAATCTTCTTGTGGCCTCTTCTCTATTTGATCTTGGCTTTAGAATTGCACCCAAAGCCGACCATCTTCATCAATCTTCTTGAGACCACTTCTCTATTTGGATCTTGTCTCAAAAGCTTATTGTTCGGTATGCTACACTGCTGTAGAATATAAACTGATGTATTTATGTTCTATAAATTAAATTTTCACCAGCAGCAACGTGCGCCACCACTTAGACCATTGAAATGGAGCTGCTGATGGTGTCACCTCAACACAGGCCTGTGAATATATACATGTCAACGTCTCCACCGGTATCTTTAGTATCTAAGAATTCTGATCTACATTTCAACATTGACATCAATTATACAAAATATACGAAAACAATCCACGAATATAGATCTTCAAGGTCGGTTCTGATTCCAGTATATTCATTAATATACTTAAAAGAGAGTACATTCAGTACCAAAAGGATGTTCTTAGATCAATTACACAGTGTAGCAGGTCTAAAGTTTACCACTCTGAAAAAAATAAAAAAAGTTCACCAGTCCAACATACATTCATGTTGCTCAGCATAGGATGTGAAATTGGGAATTTTGCTATACAGGCACGACGCCAAAATAGTGTTGCACATATGCTAACTGCCACACCCTACACAATTTTCCAATAAATGTGCACACAACAATGCAAAAAAAAAAAAAAAAAAAAAAAAATGTGGTAATGACGATAGGGAACATCTTAATTCTATTCTTGTACAAGCATAAAAAAAACGCATTGCCAGATCTTTTAAGCCCGAAGCATACGCAGGAGCATGAGTCTTGACAACTGCGGCGAAATTTGATCTGTGTTGCCATCCATCTTTGTGAACAATGAAAAGCTCAATGGTATATTAACCAAGAGATCTTGAATGATTAAGGTGAAAGCCACCCTCTCTAGTTCTGTAGCTCCTTGCTACAGTTCTTTGAACACACTTCTGTTGGTAAGTATTATCCCGGTTACATCAAAATGGCAAAAGAACACATGAATTCCACCACAGTTTCTGTTGACCCAACAGGATACTGAGCTATCATTGAGCAATTCAGGTCGAGTTTGGTCTGGGAGCAGGCGGAGCGGGAATTATTCCCCATCTCTGACGAACAACCTCCAAATCCTCGTGGAAGTGCCGCTCATAATATACACACATGAGGTCTGTGCATTGCATCCCAGCCCTGACGGCCCAGGGAAAGTAGTGCTGGTAGAATATCGCCCTTTGCTTCTCATTGAATCTTGTCGTGCCCCCTACAACAGACATAAGGCACATAGGAAGCAGCATTTGCTCAAATTCTATCACCTTAAGTGCTGACTCGCCAATCAAGTTGGTGGGGAGGCCAAAGAGGGTGTGCCAGAAGTCATGCACCTCACGGGCACGCATGGCCACATATGCTAGCTCCTTTGTTTCCAGGAACCGCACTGGTGGCCTATCATCTGGGGAGAAGTTCCTGGAGCCCATAAACCTTGCGTAGGCAGCACCAAATGTGTTCTCAGGTAGGTCCCATGCATGCCCCACATTTGCAGATATCACACGAGGCTGCTCCAGTAGCACTGCCTGAGAGAGATATGAATGCATGATTTATTGTAAAAAATTACGTAGCTGTCATCCACCAGGTAGATACACTGAAAAAACTTGAGCAGCAACTAAGTAAGAATTTGAAAAGATCCTCATTAACTAATCAGAATAAATTTTTGGGCTCGGTCCATATTGAGTTGTATAATCTACATAACTGTTGGAATGACCAAACGACCCTGTATTAGGGATCATTTAGTGTGAATGAATAGCAATATTCTAATATTCCCCAAAAAAAAAAAAATAAATAAATAAATAAATAAGAAGAAGAAGAAGCAAATATTCTAAAGATGACAAGTTTGAAACAATGTTATCAAAGTATTACCTCAGTCCGAAAAGAAGAAGAAGACGTGAAAAAAAATTACCTATCAAACTCTCTTTCATTTTCTACTGTCAATTTAGTAAAATATTATTTTTTTGTTCCTTGAATTCATGCTAAAAACTATACTATCCAATCACTAAGTGAAAGACTCATGTCCCATATGATACAGAATAGGCTGGTGAAAGATGATTCTAACAACTGGGCCAATATCAGTCCCCAGCATCTGATATGATCATCCAATTCAAATAGGTAAAAGTTAGTTTTGAGACAACAACAATAATCAAAACCTTTTGCCAACTACTTGGAGTCAACTACATGAAATCTATTTTTCCATTTTGCCCTATATAAGATCAAAATCTCAGTCAAACCACACGTTATCATATCTTTTCTTTCTAACTTTACCCATGTTAATTTGAGTTTCCCCTAGGCCCTAGCATAGCTAAGGCCATGGCATCAAACAACTTGATTTTGAAACAACTTCACAATTCAAAGTGGCAAGCGATAGTAAGACTATGCCACAAGCAAACAACAAACACTAAGTGACATTCACCTCTTACAAAGCCGCCCAAAAAACTGACCCTAACTCACAAGCTGGTTTTGATTCCAAGGCCTGATTGAAATGCACCCTGTGTAGTTTAGTGACCCAACAACTATTATTGCTGATGAGTCTACAATTGTGTAAATTTCTTCTAGTTACTCATAAGAGACATGAAAATTTTCAGAAGAGGGATCCTTTTGACATAAATTAATACGTCAACTTCAAGAGCATTGGTAAGTTTTAAGAAAAATATCACCAAACTTGTCAAAGCAAGCACCTTGCCTTTCCACATGAACTGGTTTTCATAAAATATGTCATTATTGGGACCAACTCCAAGAAAAAAACCAACCAAAGCTATAAACTTTCCCTCTCAGGGAACATGATACTCACCATGGAGCTAATTCTCAATGATAGGTTTGACAAAAATTGCATATGATAGACTCCCAAAAGACATATGCAAGGGAGGTCTTGCTTAAACAAATTATCTAGAGAGATATTGTGATATCAAATATATTACCTGAAAAAATATCAACTTTACTTCAATCTCATCTCTTTAATTTTTTCACAGATTTATCTCACAGATATTATAGAATTCATTGAGATCTCTGTGATACTGTAAAAAACACAGTATGGGAAAGAGAAGCTATCTGTAAAATAATGAGAATTAACCAAAAGCGAGGCTTGAACACTTGACATGAGACTATGAGAGGACAATTAAGTGCCCTTCACCACAAAGCTTGATGTTTTGGAGATTCCATTTGAAATTTCCTAATTTCTTTAAATTTTTCATGATGATTACCATATTAAAAAATATCTCCATGTTTTCAAACCCCAATATGGTAGTGTACAACAACATTCTTTTACTACAACTAACACAGGCAGCAATTATAACTATGTTAGTTAACTAAAAACATTTACTCCATAACAATTACACGCACTAACAATTAGCTCGAAAAACACTAAGGCATATATACATACAATGCGAATACGTAAATGTAAATAAATAAATAATGCCACAAAATCATATGTAAAAATGAAGCGCCTCTCAAAAGGACAACCTCACAGATGACATAACCCCAAAACTCGGATGAGTCCAATCTCTCACCGTGAGGGAAATTAGCATCTCTATAAATAATTAAGAAAAGACTCACTCTGCCTTCAGCGCTCTTCTTCATCCTTTCAAGAACCCTTTCAAAAGCATTCTTTCCTGTTGTCTCTCCCAGAGCTGCTATCAAATCTGCTCTTCGCGGGTCCAGTAATGCACCAACTGCTGAGCCCACTGCAATTGCAGCCCGTTGCCACCCATTAAGCCGGATGCCAGCACCTTGTATCATTGCAAATATCTGCTGATATCAAAATCTAGTCGAACCACAATAGACGATCATCAAAACCTAAAACAAAGTGATGTAACTTTCAAACTGAAATTTAGCACACCAAGTGGTTAAAATCTAGGAGATGGCAATTATGATTCTTGTAGACAATTTGTCAAGCATGTGGAACGCTCAAAACTAGATTCATGTATACGATCATCAAAATCTAAAACAAAGTGATGCAACTTTCAAAGTCAAATTTAGCACACCAAGTGCTTAAAATCTAGGGAATGGCAATTATGATTCTTATAGACAATTTGTCAAGCACATGGAACGCTCAAAAATAGATTCATGTAGAGGTTCATCAAAATCAACCAAACCACAATAAACTATCATCAAAACCTAAAATAATGTGACATACTTTGAAAATGAAATTTAAAACACCAAGCGGTTAAAATCAACGAATTAGAAATTTATGATTATTGTACACAGTTTCTCAAACATATGCTGCATTCCAGAATAGATTCATGTAGGGGATCATCAAAATCAATTAGTCGATTAACATACGCAGAGTCACAATGAGATTCCAACACTAACCTGAAATGATAAGATCTTAGAACGGGAGGTCGAAAACGAGACTACCATTAAGCATCGAAAAGAAAAGAGGGAGGATAGAAAATCAATCAACATAAAAATGGATGAGATTTCTGTTTACCACCCATACGACGTTTGACGAGGATGACGGTGGTGGTGGGTTATTTCGTGATGATGGGGTTCGGGGGCGCTAATATATAAATATATGTAGTATATATATGTTTGTATTCAATTTGAGTTAGAGCATCTTGAACGACCTCTCAAACTCAAAATATCTCAAAAGACCTTTCATATTTTGAAATCGTCAAAAATTACTAAAATAAAAATAAGGCACTTCAATGAGCTCTCAAAATATAAAATGATTGTTGCGTAAAGAAATAACATTTTGAATGAAATGCACCATTGGAATAGAATTGTAAAAATATAACATTTTCACATTGTAACTCCTCTCAAAATATAGATTTGGCTAAGAATGGCAAAATTAGACATGACACTATAACACGACACGAACACAATACGATTTAGGCAGGTTTGGATTTACTATAAATGGGTTAGGGTCGGATAAAGGTCGACACGATTAGAACTCGAAAAAGTTGAGTTGGGTTCAGGTTCAACCCGTGTAACCCGCATAACCCGTTTAATTAAACGGGTTACATGGGTCGTGTCAACATGGATACGACCTAACCCATTTACAACCATTTAAAATGTAAAATAGTAAATAGTGAAATAAGAGGTTAAATTTGTTCATATAAGTGTAAAAGTATCATAATAAAACTAAGGGTAGCAAAGTTCGACACGAACCGCCAACACGACACGAGTTAAATGGATAATGGGTTTACCATAAACGGGTTCGTGTCATAAACAGGTTGACACGAATAACCTGTTTAGTTAAATTTGTCTTGTTCAGGTTTTGTGCTCAACCCGTTTATACCCGTTTAATTAAATGTGTCACCCATGAACCGGTCTAATCCGTTGCCTGTTTTGACCTGATTAGTAGGGAATATGTTGGTCATTTCATGGTTACATAAGAAACCATATTATTTGTATATCAAACGATTTAGACACATTATTTACACAGCGCCTCTTTCTCTTCACTTCTGGTCTCTCTCTCGGTCTCTCCTCTTTCCTCTCTTTCTCTGAATCGGTGAAATTGGTGAATCGACAACTCCCTCCTCTCTTAAATCCACACCACACCTCGAGCCTTCAAGCGACCAGCGAATAACAGTGAACACAAACCTTGAACAATCGAAGTAAGTTTTCTAACTTTCTCTAATTTTTTTGTCTTATTTCTTTCAGATCTACTTTGAAACAACAAGAGTTCGATTTTTTTTGTCTTTCCTCTTTCAGATCTACTTGGAAACAAGTTTTCTTTAATTTTTTTTTTTTTTTCAGATCTACTTTGAAACAAGTTTTATCTAAATTTTTTTTTTTTTCCATTATTATTGTTGTTTTTTTAGAAAGTTTGATGCATATATGTATCGTGCTTCTGTCCTTTCTAATTTGGGGATGTTCACTTAGTGAATCTGAGAAGTTATAAAAGACTTGGCTCTTGTTTAATTATCTTAACTCAAATTCTTAACTCCTGTGGTCTGTATTATTTGGAAAGAGAAAATTTTCAGAATTTTTTAAAATTAGTACAAAGATGTCATGAGCATGAAGCAGTGAATCTGATTGTTAGTAAAACAATCTCTTTTATATGTATTATTTGGTGTCTTGGCCGGTGGAATGGTTTCTGCTTTCCTAGACATAGCTACTGGTATTTGCTGTGGGATTATTTGGAGTCTAGTTGAAGTTGTGGTCCTCCTTGTAGGCCATCTCCTAACTGAGAAAAGTCTCCAAACGTATTAGATATCGGATAAATGAGAACTGAATTTTAATCGTGAAGCTTTAAACAGTTATTATAAATTAAGAATTTTTAAAAATTTATTTTAAGTGTTAAGCATAATAAGTGAATTTATTGTCACTTAAAACTTTACATCATTTTAAATGTAAGTCATTTTTTAAAGTGGTACTAAAAATACATTATCAAACACATTTAATCAATAATATATATATATATATATATATATTAAAATTGTGTCCTAAAAAGAGAATTTACAAAATATACCCGAAGATACCAGGGACCACACATGTTATAAGCATATGGTTTTATTGTACAAGAGATACAGTATTATTTTTTTTTAACCAGATACATTATTTATTGACATCCATGATCCAACACACTTACATATATGTTACACACTTATAATATCGTAGTGCACTTAAACCAGAAAATATGGAGGCTTTGGTATGCACGAGGGACTGGCTTTTTGGTTTGAAAGGTAAATGACTTATAATAAACTTCAAATTATATTTTTATTATTGCAGAAAATAGAGAAGTAATAAATTTTTTGCCTATGTTTTACTATAGATACAATGAAGCTTCAAGTAGATGACTTGATTGATGATGTGATGAAACTTAATATCAACAATGATGACCCTACTGAAGGCCAATGTTCCACTAGTGTTAGCGTGACCGACCATTAAAATCCAGTTAAGTAAAAAAGCCCTCTGCATCTGTTTTATTTTTCACATAATCTGTTACATAAATTCTTTTATATTTCAATTTGTTTTTTTTTTTTAAAAAAAAAAAAAAAAAAAAAAAAAAAAAAAAAACTTATCTTACACTTACCTGTTTTGTAGGAATTTGTACTTTTGGATGTTTCAGAAAACAGTGCATGCAGATTGCAAGAGAAGTTTTTGAGTTGTGGATCTTTGGCTTTTAAGAAGATTACATGTTATCCTGACGTTTCTATTAAATATTTTAATTTTGATCTGTAATAACTCATGGCTTATCTTTATTTCAGTTTGTAACTTGTGACTTGTGACTTAATCTTTATCTTTAACTTTTAATCTCTCTTTTGGACAGTACAAAATTCCTAGTAATGTTTGCTAGTATTTTAATCTTTAGCCACATTAAACAGGTTAAGCGGGTAAACACCTTAAACTGGTTAAGTAGATAAACAGATTAAACAGGTAAACATGTTAAACAGGTCGTGTTTGGTGTGTCTAACATGACTCGTTTATTAAACGGGTTACACGTGTCGTGTCGTGTTACCCGTTTAATAAACATGTTCGGTTCAGGATATGTGACACGGTTATTAATCATGTCGTGTTCAGGTTGACCTGTTTAGTGTTATACCTCTAGTTCGACACAACACGATTATGGCACGCGAACCCGAATTGCCACCCTTAAATAAAACCTTTTCTAACCATATCGCATATTCACTATTTTCATTTCTTGTTGTTATCGACAGAGAGCAAAAGGCGACTATGAACCCTAGCTTTGATCGTCTTTGATTCCTCATGTGATTTCTTCCTTCTGTCGAGTTCCAACACAAAGTCACAACTAACAAAGGTACAAATCATTCGATTTCGGTTTCTATTTCATTTCTTGTCTCTTCTATGATGTCGAAGCTATTTGTAAGCAATTTGTACCTCTGATGTCTAAATTTCATTGATTATCTTTAGCTTTGTCCCCAGAAGGCGAAGCTTCGTTGTAGCGAATATCTTTCATCCATGTCCCTAATCTTTCCTCATTCTTATAATCTTATTATTCTATATATATATATATATATGTATGCATTGTCTATTTCTTTGTAAACACACGCATATAAAGTCATATATATATGTCTGTGTGTATTTCTATGTAAGCACACACATGTATTTATGTCAGGGTATTTCTTGTTCTTTCTTAACTTCTTTTATGCTTGGATTAAATCGTTTAGAAATATTATATATTCTTTACTGAAGTATAAAGTTTCTTCATTCCACAAACATTTTTGAGTTAAATAATTTCTTTACTATTACACTTATATTTTATTTTCTGCGAAAAAAGTTTTTTGAAATACTTTTCGTTGAAACAAAAGAAAAATTCTATGTTACAATTATTTTGTATTAGAGTCTAGAGATTATTCTGTAACAGAAGAAAAAAGAAATAATATTTGGGTGTATTAGAAATTAGAACATAACTAATCTTTTATTAAAATAAGAAATATATATTAAATTAACTTAGTATTTTATTTTTGTATTCTATTATCTTATCTTTTTACTGTTATTTTATTTTGGTGCAAACTTGTGGATGGACGTTGTTACTGATATTCAAATAAACCTTGAAGATGTTAAAGAAAATGGTGATGAAGTTGAAGAGCTACAAGGAGATGAGGAAACTTTCAAACCAAAAAAAGTTGTAAAACGAAAAAGGAAATTCACCTCTGCTGTTTGGCAATATTTTAAGATGTTTCCTCTTGCAAAAGACAAGAAGCCAATATGCAAGTGAAAAAAATGCAGGACTGTTTATTTGTGTAGTACCAATTATGGAACTGGGAATATGAAGCGTCATATTGATAATTGTATCATAAAGGACATACGTGATGTAGGTCAGCTTGTTTTATCTCAAGTGCATTCATCAAAATTTGATCCTGAAAAATTTCGTGAATTATTAACTGCTGCTATTATAATGCATGAGCTACCTTTTCAATTTGTTAAGTATGAGGGCATTAGAGCAGTATGTCGATATTTATGTGAGAATTTTTAACCTATTTGTAGGAATACTGCCAAGGCTTATATCTTAAAGATGTAAAAAATTGAAAAGGGTAGGCTTCGACACTTATTAGGATCAGTGCAGGGTAGGATTTGTTTGACATCTGACTTATGGACTTCTTTAACTACTGATGGGTACTTGTGCCTCACTGCACATTTTATTGATGATGATTGACAATTACAGAAAAGAATTTTAAACTTTTGCTACATGCCATCACCACATAATGGGATTACCATAAATGAAAAAAATTTACACATTGTTAACCGAATGGGGGATTGAGAAAAAATTGTTTTCAATCACTTTGGACAATGCTTCTTCAAATACTTCATTTGCTGACATGTTAAAGTGTTAATTAAATTTAAATGATGCATTGTTGAGTGATAGTAATTATTTTCACATTCGGTGTTGTGCTCATATTTTGAATTTGATTGTGCAAGATGGTTTAAAAGAAATTGATGAATCTGTCATTAAGATTTGTGAAAGTGTTAAGTATGTTAAAGGTTCTCCGGGGAGAAAACAAAAAATTTTGGAATGCATTTCTCATGTGTCTTTGGATTCTAAGAAAGGTTTAAGGTAAGATGTTTCTACAAGATGGAACTCAACATTTATTATACTTGAGTGTGCTATTTATTATCGTCGTGCATTTTGTCACATGGCATTAACTAACTCAAACTATAAGCATTATCTATCTAAAGATGAGTGGAGTAAAGTGGAGAAGATTTGCAATTTCTTAGGAGAATTTTATAATGTTACCAAAGTCTTTTCTAGAACAAATTTGTTGCAGCAAATTTGTACTTTCCTGCGGCATTTTTAGTTCGACGAAAATTGCTAACTGAAAATGAGAGTTTAGATGAGTTCTTGTCTAGCATGGCCACTAAAATGTATTCGAAATTCTCTAAATATTGGTCATAATTTAGCATGATCATTGCTATTGCTGTGATTTTAGACCCTCGTTTTAAGCTTTATTTTGTGGCTTTTAGTTACACCAAGATTTATGGTTATGATTCTAGAGAAATCAAAAGGGTCCATGATAACTTGTTTAGTTTTTTTAATGAGTATTTGCATGATTCTCCTTCTCCTATGAGCATAGAAGCCACTTCATAAACAGTTGGAAGTTGTTCTTATGAAAGAGAAGAAACACGTTTTTTCAAAAGAGAGTAGAGATATCATGCAGGTAATTTGATATTTTATTTTTTCATTTACGTATTTTAACTAGTTTTAGTTTATTCTTGTAAAATATTTATTTGAGTACTTACTTTTACTTACTTTTTTATTTTTTGTATAGGAATTTGATAGTTTTGAAAGTGATGAATTTGCTAGTGCTCAAAAATCATAATTAAAATTGTATTTGGATGAGCCAAAGGTTGACAGGAAAGTAGACGTTGATGTGCTTGTATATTGGAAGGCTACCCAATTCAGGTATCTAGCACTTTCTCGTATGGCTCGAGATGTATTAAGCATTCTAGTGTCTGCGGTTGCTTCTGAGGCTGCTTTTAGTGTTGGTGGTCAAATTCTTGATTAATTCTATAGTTGTCTTAAACCTGAGAATGCGGAGGCTTTGGTTTGCATAAGAGATTGGTTGTTTAATATAAAAGGTAATCAATTCAAATTTCTATTAACTAAATTAAATTTACTTTCATTAGTATTTATATTAATTTTTCTTTTGGTGTTTTTAAATGAAGAGAGCATGCAACTTCAATTGGATGACCTTGTCGCGGAGTTTAATGATTTGACCATGAGTAGTAAAGAGGGCATTCCTTCAACACGATGTCTAAACACTTGTGCTGATATGGTTCAATAAGGTATTAATGATGTTATAACTCAATTTATTATTAATATTTTAGCAAGTAAATTGTAATACTGATATAACTTGTACTTTTTTTCTTCAGCTCTCTATTTAATGAAACTTTTTTTGGTGTTACTACTATTTTAGAAGTTTTCTTTTGATCATGCCTTCTTCATTAAAGCCAGTGAATTTCCTTTTTGGTGGGTTGTGATTAACAAAGAACATATGCTTAGAAGTGACCATTTTATTAGCAATCTGCATATGATAGAGCAATATGACTGTACTGAACTACTCTTTTTTTTGGAGGTTGGCATGACTATATTTTACTGTTGTTGCTACTATGAAAGGTAAAACACTAAAAGACCAATAAAAACACTTCTTTATTGTTGTTACTCTGACGAATCTACATAAAACCTAAGTATAACTATTTTTTTCCCTGTTACTTGATCATTTAGATGTTCAAAATACAATCTTTGTTGATTTGGCGCTTATTTGTTTATACTAATTGCAATTTTTTTCTTTTTGGGGTTAATTTTTTCGATAAGTCTTTTGGGGTTAATTTTAGGGGATATTAGCATACGATAGCTTAAGTGGAAGGATATAAGTTTTTTGGAGCCCAAGGAGTTCAACTTATCTCAGTTTTGGGCTTTTTTGGCAAACATCTTAACAACATTGAAGTTGGTTGGCAGGTAATTTTCTCACTTTAATTTTGTTTAATCAATCTGAAAGCAATAGAACCATTTGCATATTTTACTCCATTATTGAGCCTGAGTATGATATGTGATATGGTCCTTGTGAGAGTCGCTACACCATATCAAGCTTAAAGAGTGTGCATTAAGGCGAGGGTCAAGAGTTTTACATTTATAAAAGCCACTACTACCTTCACTAAAAATATAGCAAGGGTGAGTAGGGATCGTCCCAAAGGATTGGAGTCGTACTTGGTTGTGGAATCGCAATTAGGGTTAGTAGGTCGAGTGATCAAACAAATGGTTAGCTAGTTGATTAAACTAGAAAGCCAATTAAACTAAATAATTGAATGCAATAAAGAGTAACTAAGAAAAAGAGATCTTGAGGTTTAGAGGTCACCACAAAGCAATGCTTTTCTATATCCTTAACAAGTGACTAATGAGGGTAATGTGTGTTGCAATATTGATATGTGTGTGTGTTTGGTCGATTCAATTAGCAAGGGTGACCAATTAAGCATACATTATCTAATCAACATGTGAAAAGCACAATATATCTAGCAATTAAGTATATATTGTCTAAATAGCATGTGAAAAGTACAACATATCTAGCAGGTCATTAATCATTTCATTAAACTCATAAGCCAAATACATTACAAGGTTAGAGACATATGCTACTTGCATTCAAAAGTATGGAACATCAAACAACTAGCATGGATTGTCCTCTCATCTAACAACTATGCTACCACTACACTACAATTAAGCTAATGATATGAAATTAAACTAATTAAGTTAAGGAAGAGGCATAATCTATCAAAAAATGACTATGGACCATCTAGAAAATCA